CAAATTTTCTAATCGTGTATTTATGACAAAAAACGGAGTAGGATGGAGGTGATGCATAGTTCATTTCTTCGTGATCAATCGACTTTATCAGCAAATGATATTGGATTTCAAAAAGTTTTAGAACGAGATGGTGAAGTACCAGAAGAAACTTTATATCAAGTTGAAATTGAAAATGAAAGTTTATTACGTACATCACGTCGATCAGAATTGGCTAGTAAAAATGCATTTTTAACACGACGATGGCAAACAGCATTAGTTTCAAGTTTAGTCATTGTAGCATTAGCTGGTGGAATTGGTAAGTAAACAGTTTTTTTAATCTATATTTTAAACATTACATAATATTAAAAGGTGGTCTTGCGTATTGGATAAAAATTCCAAAAGTAATAACACAACCATATTTACTTTATGGTGAATCATGTTATATGAATTCTCGTTCATGTGATGAAACACGAATGCTTTGGTGTCCATCTGGAACATGTATATGTACAGGTAATTATCATTGGAATACAACAGCACAAAATTGTACATGTGGTTCTTATCAAATGTGGACTGGTTTTAAATGTCAAGATTATGGTTATTATGGTGATCCTTGTAATACTGTACCTTGTCAACCAACTTTAACATGTATGAAAGTTGTTAATCAAACATATACTACTGGTCAAGATGTTTGTGTTTGTGATAATACTACTTATTTGCAAACATCTGGTGTTAATCAAGGAAATTGTGTTTCTAGATTATCATATAATCAAAGTTGTCAAACAGAAACTGATTGTCAAGATTGGTTAGGTCTTTCGTGTACTAGTGTTCCACCAGGTAAAATTTTAACTATTTAAAAGTTATCTATTGAATTTTGGATATAACAGATGTTCGGTGTCGATGTAGTTCAACATCTTATTGGAATGGATCAATATGTGTACAAAGTAAAATGACTTATCAAGATATTTGTTTTTGTATTTTTCGGATTTTATTTACTTCTATAGATGCTCTTGGTGGAGAAACATGCTCTGCATCTGTTCCATGTGATACTACAAGAGGTTTAACATGTGTATCAAATATTTGTGAATGTGATCAATATAGTTATTGGGATAATGTTACAACATATTGGTGTCAATCAAAAGTGAGTTCAATAATATTCTGTTTTTTTTTTTATTTTTGTTTTTCATTTTTATTAGAAAACTTATGCTATTTCGTGTCAATACGATTTTCAATGTAATACAACAGTTAATCTTACATGTCCATCAGTAAGCACAGGTTGTAATTGTTATTCTACATCATATGCATATATATGTGATTGTGCATCGAATCAATTTTGGGATGGACAACGATGTACAGATAGACATTCATTTAATGGAACATGTCCAGGACAATATGCTTGTACAGCAAATCTTGTTTGTTATCTAGGACATTGCATATGTCCAGGTAATATGGTATGGAATACTCCAACACCAAGTGTGTGCGATTGTTCAACAGGAACTGCATGGAATACCACCACTAATACGTGTACTTAAATAAAGAGATCGATTTTATTTTATTTTTCTTATTAAGTGACACATTACACCAAAACGCATTTTTTTTCTTATCAAATAATAGATTTTAACAGTATCATTTTTGAAACAAGAAAAATAATTTAAACCATAGTTTGATAACATGCATGAAATTCATTAGAATTTAATATATATAAACCAGCAGCTTCTTTTTTCCTACTGTCCGATAATAAAATATGTACTTTTAATAATAATCTTTGAAGCGATGAAAGTCTATTATTTTTAATTCTGACAAAAAAAATTTGTATCGAATCTATCGACATTTACAAAAAACATCATTCCTTTAATTTTTTTGTCGCTGATTGAGATAAATATACGTAGCATTGTAGCCATTGAAGAGCCAAGCTGAAATTAAATCAACATATCAATGAAATAAATTGCATCTAAGTTTTAACTTCTACTAATTTCTATTCTTGTATTTTTTTTTGATTATCTTCATTCGAAATAGATCATTGAATTGATGGCTTTATTTCCTTTTATTGACGATCAAAAAATAAAATCAACAATTCTTGAACATCAGTTGTTAAAATGACGAAGAAAAACGGGAAAAATTGTTTATAATTTTGTCAAATTTCTTACGAGGAAGCCGTCCAAACTGATTTGAAGGCATATTACTCCCCTAAGAACACATCAGGTAAACTATCAAAAAACAAAACGAGTAGCGAGCAACGATTTCTTCAAAATTTAGTATCTGAACAAAGAAACATTCTTCAGATCATTCGACCTATCTATGCCCAAAATCTGTTTCTTTTCAATTATGTGATTTATACCTAAAACTAGATCGAAAATTCAACGCAACATCCACACCCACATCCTTTCTTTTTCCAGTCACGATATAATGTCCTGTAAATAAATTATATCCAATTAAAACATTCGAATAGTTTGTATATTCGCTCATTTTTTTCATTCTGTAACCAATAAACTTATAACAGTGTCAGTTTTTTTCTTTTTTGATCAATCGTTTGATCTCTTATCATTCTTTTTAACAATTAATTAATTAATCCGATGAGCTCATTTAATCGTTTTCGATATCAATGCAAACATTATTCAAATAATGTTCAGTTTATAAAAAATGTCATCTCAATCTCGTCATGTTTATACTCGTGAAGAACGAACAATACTTGAAGCAAGTTTTACTCGTCAAACACATCCTGATATAAATGAAAAAGAACGTTTAGCTAAAATTTTAAATTGTAATATTATTCAAATTTCCAATTGGTTTCAAAATCATCGAGTAAGTAAAATAAAATAATTATTAATTAAAATCTTCTACCTCTTTTTTTTATAGCGTCGAATTAAAAAACAGAAGAAATCTGTAACATCAAACATGTCAACAATTACAAATACTGTCTCGGTTAATTCTCCTATGTATCAAACATCCTGCGTTTATCATCAACTGAATTGTCCATATAATATTAATAATGATAATTTATCGTATTATTATTACTATCCACCAACATCTCAATATGTCTATACTAATGAGCCAATTTACACACAGACGATGCTTTGTGATCCATTTGTTAATTATGAACAATAAATTTGTTTCCTTTTTCTTTTTGTTCTGTGATTTTATAAAATAAAAAAATGGCTCTAGATATCTGATGTTTGATATACTAGATTGGCGCTTATTTAGACTACTGAAATAATTTTCTTGTATCATTTCTTCAGAATTTTTTTTTCTTTTGACTTTTCTTCATATATTCATCAATGAAAAAAATTGGTTTAACACAGCGTCGTCGAACTGAGAAAGCTATTATTGATGCTCTCTTAAAGATATCTGAAATTGTTCAGAAAACAGAAACTAGTCGACAACGTCAAAAATCGAAAAAAACAATTGGTGATGGTGATTGTAGTGAGGTTCATAATGATGGTGATGAAGAACAACAACAACAGCAACAACAAGTACCTGTACCGCCTTCTATGCGTACAATTGATTCATATGTGTCAGGTTTTAATCAACAATCAATAGAAAAATCTTCATATTCTAATCAAACATCAATTCATAAACCTAAACAACATATATTGAGTCCTTCATGGAATTCACAAGAAACAGGTTAAATCAAAGACTTTAACTGTAATATAGCATTTTTTTCGCATTCATTTATTCTTAGATCAACGATACGATCGATCATTAGGACAGGAATATGCAGATAATAATGAATATAAAAATCAAGAACATTCTAATAAACGTTGCTATTATGATTCTTCATCTACATCATTATCGTCGAATGATAATCATTATCGAAAGAAATCTTTCAAACATCACTCAAGCCATAAATCTGTTCAATCAAATAAGAATTTACAACCGGTATTCAAAATAAAGAAAAACGAAAATAAGATTTATCATTTTCATAAACATGTTTTATTTTATTGCTTAGGTATTTCAAGAATCAGAAAAAACTGAAAATCAACCAACAATAGCAACTGTTCATTCTCATACGACTTCCTATCAAGTTAATTCTGCAGCTACAACTATTCTTGATGATCAATCATCATCTTTAGTTATGATGCCAATGACTTCAGCTCTAACAAAATCATTACCAATTGCTAATGAACAGCAATCGTCAATAAATTCAACTCCTGTTCATACAGAACAACAACAACACTTTTCATCATCATCGAATATATTAACAGATTTTGATGTATTTATTGATCAGCAATTACAAGCTACATTAGAAAAACATTTAAAAAATAATTTACTATCGTCAACAAATCGTGAAAATATTCCAACACCACGAAAAACTAGAGTAGTTACTTTAACAAAATCAGAAACAGGAAAATTGATGAATGAATTAAAATTTACGAAACAAGCTTGTAATTTAGAACATTATGACAAACAGGTCAGAAAGAATTGTCACTATCGCAATGTTAGTCTAATAATGTTCAAACGAAAATCCCTCTCAAACGACTAATATCAGTAACATTTTTTTTGTCTTATTTGCAATGAATTGAAATGTCAAACACTATGTCGCTGCTGTTATTAATCACAGAGCATTTCTTTATTCTGTCTATTTTGGGGCAAATTTCTTCACCATCTTCTTACTTAATTGTCCCGAAATACAATTAAGAAGTAGTTTATATCTCTTTAAAAGTTTATGTTACATACAGCAGATCAGTAAAATAGGATTTAACTCTCATACTCAATCAAGTAGTAAAGCTTTAATTTTCTATTGTTTTATAATCAGTACAAATTACTTAAATTCATTTATAAGATTCGAGTCGAATCTGAAAATTGTATTTATTTATTTCAGCGTGAATTAGCAATGCTTGCTGCTAAACAAGGCAATTATTCTTTATCTTATTCTATTTATACAAATCTCTTACATGATACTCAAGATGATTTCAAATTAAAATCCGAAATTTTAGCATCACGTGCTACAACATTATTATTAGAACAAAAATGTTTTGAATCAATTGATGATTGTACACAAGCAATTGCATTTAATCAATGGAATAAATTGGCATATGTTGTACGTGCTGCATGTTGGATGATAAAACAAGAATATTCTAAAGCAGTTGAAGATTATTCAAAATTATTTCATTTTTTTGATCAAAGTCAACATGTTTTAGATTTATTAAATTTAGCTTATGAAAAATTAAAATCATTCAATAATGATATTGATGATGAACAATCGATTAAAATCGAACAAGAAAAAGAAGATATTCAATCAATTAAAAATATTAAAAATGATAACAATACAACACAACCTATGACATCATTAATTGATACTTGTGTTAATCCTACACAATCACTTTCTTTAGTTTCACCAACTGCTTCTTTTATGCAACCAGCTATCTATCTTTGTTATCCTTATCAAGCTTATCCAACTTGGTATAGCACTAATAATAATGAACAACGAACAACAACTAATGGAGAAGAAATTCAACAACCAACCTATATTAGTGAGTGTGAAGTATGACTGTGGGTATTCCTTTCAAATGTGCCCATAACCACGTGTCTTCGAAATACGAAGCTTTTGAAAAATATCCGTTGTATACACTATTTATGGAAAAGAATCTATATCTTGAAAGTCTCATATCTCGAAGAGACTTTATTCAAAAATTCTCAATTTTTTATGGAAGTTAATCTGGTTGAGTTCTCTGTAGACGCAAAGTTTCACATCAAAATTCGACAACTTAGTCAAGTTGCTTTTGGAACATTATGTAGAATCTTTAATCAAAAAGTCATTGAAATCATAAGGAGAACAGCTAAAAAGGTTCACTCGTTAGCTTCTTTTTTCGAGCTTCGAGATAATTAAAAATGAGAACAACTGATAATAGATAATGAATCATATATACAATGAAGAAATAAATTCACGGCCTCCTTGAAAACTATGTTAATACATGATGGTAAAGTTCTCGTAGTAATGAATCTGCTTTACTATTCCTCTTTCATATTATTTCGGGCGGTAAAAATCGTTGTCGTAGAAACGATTATTCGTTTTTTTTTAATGAGATATCGATTTTTTCCCATGATCGGTATTCGTAGCTTCTATTACTATCTTGTTATCTTTTTCTCTCTTTTACTTAGTTACAAATGCTAGTTTCACTTCACATCCATCTCTAATCATTGATCAATCACCTATGTCTTCTGAAAAACCATTTCAAAATCTTTATCAAACAAAACATAAATCATGTCAATCTATACATTCAAATAATAATGCACTTTTATCAACTATTGAACATGAATCATCTTCTATTAATAAAAATTTACAATCAAATTTAATTTGGATTAAAAATCCATATCGATCATTTTGACATCTATAAATTCTCATTTATTTATATATAAATATTTTGTTTAAATAAAAACATCAATACAAAACAACGACTAGATTAATTCGTAGAGAAAAAAAAAGGGAAAAAATATTTGTTTTTCGTCTGAATTAAGAATAAGTAATTCCTCCAAATGTCATTTCCATTTGAGTTTGTTGATCAGCAAATGCAATCCAATCTGAATTATATGTTGGTAATAAACCCATTGATTGACATTTATATAAAGCCAATGCTAAATGTGTAAGATTACCCAAAAAATACATTATTTTATGTAACCATATATTTCCAACTAAACCTTCTTGTTCTAATGATGAAAATGCTGAACTAAGTGAAAATATTGCCTAAAAGAAAAATTCAAATTCATTTCAATAAAAGAAAAAGATCATTTAAGAATACTTGTATAGGTTTCATAAATAACATAACAACAATCATAATTGACATGAGTGAAAATGTATTTCCAGCCATCCATGCTAATATAATATTCATTGGTAATTGTTTTATTGGTTGTAATGCAATATCCCATGAACGTTTTGCTAATAAACGTTCATCATCTTCTTGTATGATTAAATCTGATACTCGTTGTTCACTGTAACCAATCGGCGATAATAAAAGTTTATTATTGTTTGTGATTGTCGTTGTTAAATTATTTTCATTAGTTGTAACAGCTAAACGCTCATGTTTACGAATTTGTAAATCAATAAACCATTTTCGACGCGAAGGACTAGAACGTATACTTGTTGTACTTGTTGGATGTTGACTAGACATCTGAAAATGGTATTCCAACAAGTCTTATGCGTTATTTTAAATATCTTCAATCATTAAATGTAGCAATGATTCTATACATAGCGGAACAAATTATTTCACATTGTACAATTATTTTTTCACGTTTTTCTTTTTGTTTTACAAACACGAGTTGCATAATATAGAATACGAACGGTATGATGATCTTACAAATTGCATACACTGCTCTTTTTGACGTATTTTAGCATGTGATTAGTGTTTAATTCATATTAAAAGTGCGAGATTGGAAACATTTATTTTTGCAAGTACCGATATGTAACGAGTAGTGCATAATAAATGGGACAAAATACTTTTCTCTTTTTAGACCACTTTCGAACACATTACAGATCTGGTTTTAAACTCATTCGGAAAAGGATTTCGTGCTCTACAAAACTACGATTTTTGCTGTTTTCGTCACCATAAACTCTAAAACATGAACACTTATTCAATCATCTAACTGCAATTTTCGATTTTGCTCTAGACATCTATCGACTTGTGTCAGAATTGATGTTAAAAGTAAAGTATTTAACATCAATGAATAGAAAATTTCGTACTCTCTGTTTCTACGATCTTTTCAGTGAAGAACTTTGTAACATATTTGGAATCTCAGCAAAATCTGTATGAAAATTTTTCTCGTTTTAGTTGTATAGAACAAGAAATGTTCTATCGAATGAACCTAAAAGAAAGTTTCTAATGTGTTGGAAAGTGCCGTAAACAGAGGCAAACATTTTGTATCGTTTATTATGGACCAACCGTAGATGTGTGGTACATTAAGCACAAATTGTGGAAGAGCAAATCTGATCTTTAGAGAGGTGCTACTCCGTTAGTTTTCACACAACACAAAATACTGCATTTTGTCGTTTGTGAGCAATTAATATGAAGAGCTATTGATAATGAGAAAAAGTAAATATTTAAAATGAAACAACTTATCATCTAAAATAAAAAAACAAGCATTTCAGATATTATTTTTCAGAGCAGACGAACACTTTGACCTACAATGTTTCTTGAAATTTGCTGTGTATCTCGAAGTCCTAAGACGATTTTTTCTAATAATCTAAATCAAACTATATGTATGTAAATAGAATTGCATGCTGTCAAAATTCTTTTGCATCTGCATGTCAACTTAAATATATTTGTTTTGATGGACTCTAACTCAGTTTAATGTTCTATTAGAAGCTTGACAATAATTCTCTGATGATGAATGTCGAAGGAGTATTATAGACGAGATAATTTACTCAATATGAACGACTCATTTTTTTTACATTTTAAGATGTTTTTTGTTTAATCGAATGTTAATCTAACATTGAACAATAAAGATTATTGAATTCATTGAAGAGGAAATAATACTAACTTAAAAGATTAAAGCGTGCATTCTACGAATTTTACCGTTCTTGCAGATATTCAATTAAGAAAGCGCATAATTATAGTGAAATAGTTGTCTATGATACGAAAAAAAAATTTTTTTCATACAAACATATATGTAATATTCAATATTGTTCAGTGCTTTTTTTCAACAAAACGCTCTACCGATACATTTAATACGATCTGTGTATTTTGAAATTTTTACTTAAAAAATTTGATAAATAACGAAAATATAATTTTGTGATATCATAAGGTTGAACACGTTGTTCCAAGATTAATGTTAATCAATTGACCATCATTATAAATTTCGTCATTTACGTATATGTGATGTTAAGTTTTAATAATGTATGATGAAATATTAAAAGAATGGTTTCTATGTTAATATTAATATTAAAAAGAAAAAGATGATTAAAATTCATCTATTATTTATAAAAAAAAAAAAAAAGAATTGAAGTGAATTTTGAAAAAAAAAGTTTTTTTTTTCAAATAAATAGTTTACTTAAAACAAAATTTTATCGATATACAAAAAGAAAAAATTGGAACTGGAAATAAAAGAAAAAAAGAAACAAGCGATTAAAGTATATAAAATATTGTTTATATTTTTTATTTTGGTTGATCATTAGGTAAATTTGGATCTTTCAAAGTTTTTTTCAAAAATCGGCCACCAACATGTATAAATGGATTATTAAATGGATTAAATTGTGGATCATCATTTCGATTTACATATTCATTATTATCACCTCGTGTTATATTATATAAAATTGTTAGAATTGTAAGAAAAATAAATAATATTACAAATATTATATAAACTATATAACGAGTACGAGATATTTGTGTTCGATTGAGCACAGAGTCTTTTCGATTTGTAGTTTGACGAGAACGTAACCATCGAGCAAACCATGTAAATACACTACGACGTTTATATTTTTCTTCATCTGGATCGTTTTCTATTGGCTAAAATCAATAAATACCGGTTTTAAATATTTCAAAAAAGTAAGTTGAAAGAATTTTTCTAATATCTTGACAATAATTAATACTTTTAAAGCATACTGAAAGTAATATCTATATTTCATCATTGTCTATACTAAGAAA